TTATAAATACAGTTATTATACCTACATAGTGGTAATGTAGAGTTATAATAAATATTGGTATAAAAATCAGAAAAGAACTGTGAGGATGATTTTCCTAGTCAATGGGGGTTGTTCCATTAGCTTGCATTAACTGTGGTCTGAGAATTATTTTTGTGTGTTCTGAGCCACACATAGGCAATGGAATGTAACCTTTAGATTATAGATACTAGATAGTGTTATTTAAATTCAAGCTGTTTCTATTGATGTTGTTTTGTTTCTGTATGTGCCATGAAAAATGTCTCTAAAAGTACTTTCAGGAAGATATTCAGCATCACCAAATATGATCATCCAAAGTGGCATCATCATCCAAAGAGCTAGGCTGCTGACAGAAGTTACAGATTTTATGTAAGGCATCCAGGTTTTTCAGAGTTTTATGAAAAAGTTCATTTAAAATCTAAGCATTTTGAGTAGCCTAATAATATAACTGAAATGCGTAAGATAAAGCAGAACCTTACATACACTTCTTGGAACCTACTACTTCCATAATAAACTTCTTTAATTATATTGGTCTGCTGGATGTTAGGCATAGGTTTTCTCATACAACATCCTGTTCCTAGCTATTCTTAGCTCCTCTCCAGGAATACATGTCGTTAGATTAGTTTATTCACTAGAACACCCAGTCATGCTAACTCTGCTGTAGCACAAGTTCTGTTGCAATGTCGAGAGATAATTTTTTTATCTGGCTGAAATCATGAATACAAAGAGGAAAATGATATCCCATTTGGTGTCGGACAAGGCTGAAAGTTTTAATTAAAAAAAAAAAAAGTTTACAGTACTGACTCTAGCATCAATTTCTTCTCCAGCTCTGCTAAACTGGCTGCCTACTTACTTAAAAGATTCATCCTTTCATATTGTGGTATAGACTCCACTCAGAAATTTCTTGGTCAGTAGCTACTAAAACTCTCCAGGTTTTAATTCCTTAACACCAGAAGTGTTTAGCAATGTTCGACAGGTATTGACCTACCTAAGAAAATGGTTTATAATAATCTATTCATGATAACTGGGGGAGCACCTCCTCTACAAATAATCACTGCATTTCTTTCTTAAATAGGGGAGACCTTAAATTCCTTTGCATTTAGAGCAAATCTGCCTTGCAACATGTTTGAAATCATGTGCTCTCTGATATCGCAGATTCAGTCAATTCCAAACCACACAATAAAGATATTCTGAGTCTCATTGGGAACGAGACGTCTTGTAGAAATTATCGTATAGCATACCAGATGGCATCTTTCTTGCAGACATCACTTCAATGTGCTTCTTCTACTGCCTCGGAGAAGAAAGAACCAAGTATTGCTATCCCCATAAGAGACTTATGCGTCAGTTTTCCCATGCAGGAATAGGTACATCTTTTTTGATTGTGGTGTCACAGAAGGATTATCATGGGATTTATGTTCTTTGAAATCATAGGAAAGCAGAGTAGTATGTAAATGTGTTGCAGGGGAGACCATCTCATACAGTCTGTATGACATTTTTCAATATCAGGACCAGCTTTAGGCATAGGCAAAGTAGGCACTGCCTGCAGCAGCACACTGGTGGGGCTGGCACTGAATCATAGACTAGCAAAATGAAGAGATAGCCTTCTAGTCTCAAAGCAATAGCACCTGCTCTGGGTTCCACTTGCACTGGCTTGGAAAAACTGTCCAAGCAGCCCCGCTAAGTCTCCTGGACTGGCAAAGAACAAGGAGATCTAAAGAGCTGCAAGTTCCCATAACGACTTGATTGACCCTAATCCCTGCATTCCTGGCTCTGCTCTGTGCCTTCCTTTACCTTTGCCTTACTACCTTTGGCGGAAGAAGGAGGGAAATAAAGTCTTGCAGATAACAGGATACTCTAGCAATGAGATGATAGTCAGGGATGAGGACAAGGCAGAAAGCTGACTGTGTTTGTCCTTATTTTCTTTCTCCTTGCTGAGCAACCTTATGTTGTGTTGATGGGCTCAAACATGTAGTTATACTGGGGCAGGGGACAGAGTTGGAGGAGAGTGCGCAGTGGGACCAGCAGTGCTATAATCATCCAGTGCTGGGGCCATGGAGATAGATAGATACAGTACCAACAGCTACATGAGGAAATGTGTCTGGGGAGCCACCCAAAAACTGAATTTTGTGTACACTGTTGCTAGGCGTTGAGCCAAGCACTTCTCATCACTGGCAGCATAACTTCCATGCTGTTTATAGTAAGGTAAGGAAGAAGTATTTTGACCATGAAACTGGTATATTGATTATTGGCTGTGCCTTATTTTTGGGCAGAACATTTTTGTTGGTGTGGGACACAAGATGCAGACACATTTGTGTCCATGTATGGGAAATACAGGAGTCAATCATGCATGATCCTTTCAAAAAGTGGGATTATGCTTCGCTAGGTCTCTTTCCGATATCGATTTTTCTGCTTATAGGGGAAAGGGGAAGACAAAGTCAGGAATCCTCTTCCAAGGAATTAATGATTTCTCAGTTAACTAAGAAAAATCCAGCAAGGATTTAATTCTCATCTTGTTTAAGATAGTTTTGTTCTCAATTTGTTCTCTGAAGAGCTTGCCCAGCCTTTCAAATTTGCTTACCCAAGGGAAGTCCACTATATTTCAACTCAACATAGCCTACCCTCTTCCTCACAGCCTTGCTACTGACTGGGCACAACCCTGAAGGGATTGTGCTCCGTCTATGTGCAAAGGTATTGATTCACAGTAGAAAAAACTCTGCAAAATAGGGAAGATTTACAGACAGGTGTGAACAAATGCATTTGTATCTCCATGAGACCTAGATTCCTATCAATTTGGTATATCTACTTTCTCTGAGAAAAAATTAATTATCCATTAATCTGTTTGAAGTACATTTAACTATTTGTGCACACTGTACTCTTACCAAAAATATATGTTCTATATTGCATATATTCACATGCTTTTGTTATTAAATACTTGAGAAAACTCCTAGAAGTTTCTTCAGCAATTACAGATTTACCAGCGCCTGATAAGCCTTCGGTACTTTTTTGAGAGATGTAATGAACCTTTCATACTTCATGTAGAAGACCTGGAGTAATGTAAGATCTCATAACAGACCTGTCTTAGGCAACTTTCCAACCTCATGAAAGATCTTTTATGGCTCAACTAAAATTATTCTACAAAATCATTATGGACTTCAGTTTGCATGAGACGTTCCACAAATCCAAGCAGCCATATCAGAATGAAAGGTCATCCAGTTTTAGTCCAAGGACTAGTCAGGTTGGAGTTGAAACTCTTATAATATTGTTAAACATCCAGCTAAGTTTGAAGTCAGTTCTGCAACTGCTCGGGGAGCCTCTGCATGTCATTTTCAGAGACTTTGTATTATAACATGTGGGTCAGACTGTAGGTTTGGATTTCTATGAAACAGTTTTCTGCCATAGTGTAATCAATCCCAAATGATGCCCTTGACAGATACCTAAAATTTCCTTATGCCTGGAATTAAATTCCTCCTTAGAGATGGTCATTGCTTGAGATTCACAATGGACAAGAAACACAAAGAAAAGTAATTAATATGTTCAATAAATGAAGTTCTACTGGACAGGATTCTTCTTAGAATTGTACCCTGAATATACCCATTTTCTGCCTTTTTTGCTAAGTTCTTTGATCCTGTTATGAAAAGCAAAAGTTTAGTAAACATTCCTCTCAGAACAAAGGTGTACAATATTTCCATCTTGAGAGAAACTGTCTCAAAAATGGAACATTGATGGAAAATACATCGTGAAGTATTTGGTTTCCTGTGCAGAAAATGAACTTTGCTTTCATTTTAAATTCATCATCTTTTATTAAATTTTTTCCAGTTATAGTTGATAAATCATACATCCTCTCTAGAAATCATGCAAATTTTATGTCTGCCTGCTATCATTCACATTTTTGTAAGAAAAGGATATAAACTTAAAATTTTATTTAGTAAAAATATTCTTTTAATTATTCATTTGAAATGGTGACCTTTTCAAGTTGAATTATTATATGTTGGCATGAAGGTTTTCTTGTGTCTTATAATATTTTACGGTTGAAGAAATCATGCAGATAATCTAATTACTTTGACTAAAATTGTTGTGCCGTTTATGTCTTTTGCTGTACTACAGGAGAGAAACTGTGAAATGTATTCATTATCGATTCATTAAAGGGTTTTGCTATTATATAAGCAGAGATGCAGACCACTACCTATCTTGTATTAAAAGGGGAAAGGGGAAGGCATAGTAAACCATGCCATAGGCTCTGGTTTATGTATTGCGTTTCTTAATGTCTTGTGAAACGTAAAAATCTACAACAAACAGATATGTAAAGCGTAACTGGTATGAAGATTCTATTCAGATCTAAGTGCTCTAGGTTGCTTTTGAATCTTGCTATTTTCTGCATTTGTTTTGACTGCTCTCATCATTCAAGATTGACGCTTGGATGGGTGTGTAGGAGGAAGCAGCAGCAGCAGGCTTACAGCTTGCAGACAAAAAAAAATCTGCCTTATCTGATGGCTATTATTGAAAATGCGAGGTGTAGCCTAGGCTGGGTAATGAAGGGGAGAGAGCGAGGGGGAGCAAGAAGCATGGAGCTGCATACTGATGAGTGTAGGAGTACTTGATAAAAAGAATTCTTGCTGCTGGCAGTGCATTGCTCATTGTGGAGTATTCCAACAATCACATATAACGGAGAACAGCTTAGATGACAGCTTGATATGCTTTTTTTTTTTTTTCCTACTGTATGACGTACTGGTCTGTAGTAAAGATTAATAACTAAGAAATGTAGAGCTAGGATCAGATCTTACGCTGTATACTGCCCTGTAAACTATGTTTTCCTTCTGACTTTTCTGCTTGCTGAAAACATTAATCTGTCAAGCTGGCGGGCTCCTTTGATACCAACTTTCCCAGGAACACGATGTGGCAATGCCACCTCTCAGCCCAGGACTACCGCTATTATCCAGTGGATGGTTATTCGTTGCTTAAACGCCTCCCTCTTCACCCTCCTACAGGACCCCGATGCCCTGTCCAGACAGTGGGACAATGGTTGGAAAATATTGGGCTACCTCAGTATGAAAACCACTTGCTGGCTAATGGATTTGACAATGTGCAATTTATGGTAAGAAATCTTCTGTGCATAGCTGTGTATATACACTGTAGCTGCCTTTTTTGTCTGTCTCTTATGTGCTCATAAAAACCTTAGAGCTATTTTGCATTGCACTAAGAAGATCTGTTTAGTGTTTCACTTTTCTATGTCTGGCTAAATTAATATATAAACTGTCCTTGTATAAACTTCCAAATTGTACACATTACAAAATATTCTAGCCAGAAATATGGTAAAAGAAAAACTGAGTATTAAGGTTCTCTCTCCCCCTCATCAATCTTCAGATTAAGAAAAAAACTGAAGAGTTCTTTTAATCCATTGCAGGATTTTCACAGTATGTAAAAGCTGTAAACACCTCTATCTGCAATACATCACGTTATTACTTTTATTTAAACATTAACATAATTGTAATAATAATTAAATAACATGCAATGCCATTCTTGCATTGAGAGGTATTTTAATACCAGAAAATTATTTAACAAATAATCACTCTCTCTGCAAGTGATTCTGGATGCCTCAGTTAAATGTTTTGCATCTTAGATAATCAGGCTATGGGATTCACTTGTTGAAACTTATGCCCTGTGTGGAAAAGTAATGCATTCCTTTTAATAGTTCTATTTTCATGTTTAACTCCAGGCATTTATCAGGAAAATATGAATGAAATAAAAATTTATGTACTTCAGAATTTATAGTATTACCTGTGGTGTAAAGTAACATAGACCTGTCATGCACAAACTTTCAATTGAAATTAATATTGACAGTAAAGAGAGAAGCTTACTTGTAAGGTTGTTATATAATCACTTTTCTACCTGCTTCAGTATTCCCATTACTTGAACCTCTTGCAAAAATCCTGGCCACATTTCTTATAAAGTATCAGAGCTTAAAATATTATTTATTACCCCTTTTTTAAGATATTTTTAGTAACCATGTATATCTTGGAACAGTTCTAACTTTTCATAACTTACACCTGGCATATAAGAAACAGAAGTGAAACAGCATGAATATCATGACTATAAAATCATCACGAGTTGTGTTTTTCCTATTTAATTTCTTTTGCCAGCATCATTATATGCCTATGGGTTACTGATCAGAAAATCAAGGCACAGATCTCTGCCATTTCCACATTATAATAGTGTAGAGGTTTCTTACTGTTTTTACGTGGCTGCCATGTGACCTTCTGCTTGTATCAGTAAAAATCATTAGAAACTTTACCTTTAAATATTCTTGAAAACAAAGCTGCAAGGGTGTGCTGTCAGCCCAGCAATGTAAAAAAAAATTCCAAAATGTGTTTCAAGCTACAGTTTCCTAAAATGTAACCACATATTCTTATATATTTTGTAGTGTTAGTTACGTAAGTAGATGATTGTTTAGTCTTAAAGAGATTACAGAGGGAAATTGTTTGCAAGAGGCTGTAGGTGGCATAACAAATGCAGAGGGGTACACCTACCACAGCTAAATGATGAGCACCAGAGAAGCCCAAGAAACTGCCCTGGAGGGCTTTCTAGTTGTCCCCCAGCTCTGGAGGGGCCTGAACTATGTTCTGGGGGAACTTATAAGACTTTCATTTCCTACATCTCTTATTAGTATACTTAGGTAAACTTACAAATTATATACGAGATTCTAATATTCAATACGCAAATCAAACTTTTCAGGTATCAGGCACATTAAGTTATGCCTGCATACTTGTGTGTTAGCTAATGTTTTCCGGTCATTTTGATTTAAGCCTTTTCTGAAGTGGTTTGTTTTTAAATATATATCGCAGGTAAATTACGTAATTACTCTTAATTTTATTTGGGGTAGCATGCATATGTGAATGGAAGATTAGACTCTTAAATCCAATGATAAGCAAAAAGCTGGAAAATTGCCTAGTAATAAAAAAGTATAACTTCAGTAATTTAATATTTCCTAATTTATTGATTTCACACTGTTCATCATGCTGTTACTTATTTCAGTTTTTGTTTGTACCAGAAATTGAATAGTTCCCATATTTTATTGGAAATAAAAATGATCAGAAAACCCCAAATTCTTTATATATTATTCTTTTGAATAGGTCAGCATTATGTAAGGAAAGTCTGTCCTGAAAATTTAAAATATTTTCCATTCTAGCTGAAATGTTAAAGAGAAAATTAAGCTTGGAAAGTATATAGGAAAATGAGAGAAGAAAGACCTGCTATGCTAAGAGAAAAATTCAGATTACCTCAAACTTAAATGTGTTGTAGTCTTCCTTAATATGAGACAACTGCTTTATTAAAGTGGTTCACATATTAAGCTATATTTTACAAGCTTCTTAAGTTTTTCAGATAGGTTAGTACTCAGTTGCTGACTGAGGTTAAACCACAACAACATTGAACAACTCTAATACTTCAGTGCAGTAAAAATCAGTTAGACATATTTGTTCTTTATTCTGTACCATATTCCTGCTTTTGTTTTTCTGGAAGCACATTCTGACCTGCATTTAGTCATTCTGTTGCCTAAGCAACAACCATCACACTCCTATTAAGTATGATTTAGTAGTACAGGTCTTACTAGATGTTCAGAACAGGAGAGGGAATATCACAATGATATCATTAATGTCCATACATCTGAGAACAAATATATCCTATTTATACTACTCTCAACAGCAAAATTCTGTTAATTAAATTAGCATTCTAATAAAAAGGTGTTTTTCGGATAAAAAAAATTCTAATAATAAAAAAAAAATCTAATCATTCATTAGATCATAGAAATTAACTCCTTGTGTTTAGTCCCCCTCGGGCATTGGGAAAGTTATTCACTAGATTATGCTTAGAATTAGGAAGATATATCTATGTTACCTGAAGTGTATGGACTTTATAGTAAGAAACAGCCTGTTTCCTATTAACTTTACAGTATGAGTATTTTTTCCATAGTTCATTAATATATATGTTTTAAAAATAGGCTGAAACCTAGTATTAAAAAAATTAGTTGTGTTTTCGTGAACTACTTTATTTCTACTTACAGCTTATTTGCACACACAGCAAGTGCAATTCCTACTTACTCTTAGTGTCGTGCAGGAATGACACTTCCATAAAATTTAGTAGGCCCAAGGCAGATTTAGTCCTAAGACTTGGTTCCTGTGTGCTTGTAGGAGTAGAATCATACTTGAATATGTATATATATATATATGCAGTCATTATTAACTTTGATAATTTGTTGTGTAATAGGCTGCAGTGTCCTTCAGATGTAAAAATTTGTAGTGACTTTATGCTGAGATACTCTATATTTGAAGATGCAGATGGTACTGCAGTTTCATAATGCAAAAGCTATTTTGCAGTTAAACTAATTCTAAAGTGCAAGAAAACAATTAGATCGGTCGTAAATTGCAGTATATAAACTAGATATAAACAATACGGAAACCTAATGAATTCATGAACACCGTTTGATGCATAGGTCCCACGGATATCCCTGGGACAAGCTATAATCTTTATGCAGGCTTGCAGGCCTACATAACTCAGTATGCTGAGAAAAAAAGTTAAATTGCAGAGAAACAGATGAAAATATACAAATGTGCGAGGTCACTAGATCCTTGCATGCAGCTTTCTACAACTCTGGAGCTTCGTCAAAGACTCCGTTCTGGATTCACAGAGATAAAAGCAGTTCAATCAAATCACTGCCCAGTGGGGACTAGTTCTGATTAAGGACTGCATATGACTATCTATATATAGGTTGTTCTAATAGTTTAAGATATTCTGAAGTTTTATCACTTGCTTAATATTACAGTTTGATGAAGACAATATCTCTTAAAAGGATTTATAAAACACTGTATGAGAGAAACAGGGACCAGGCAACCAAAATGAGTTAACAGAAAAATATGAAGTATTTGATTATATTTTTTGACATTCCAAAATATTGTTCACTAGTAACAGTTAATAACCTGAATTGGCATTAGTCACTAGACTTTCATTGCTGCTGTGAACTTACAGACACGCACCTCTACCCATTCAAGTACCTAAATGGCTTGCATTGCCTGAGGATCTAAGTATTGCCTAAGTATTTTTTAAAATTCTCTCTTTTTCACTGTTGGGAAACTGAGGCATAGAGTAGACTGCAGGGTGGAATTTAAAACTGCTTATACATTTGAGATAAGAGGCACTAGTTCTTGAAATAGCTACTAACATCACGTTTAACAGATCAATTCAGTTGCTTAAACATAGGTATCTAGTACCAACTGAGATATTGTAGGGAATCCAGGAGATCCAGACAGGGCTGACAGATATTACTGAGGATCAGAGACAGACAGACCCTTCATGATTAGCAGCTGGAGCCCAGGTGGGATACCACCGAGCATCTCAGATGGCTCTAGAGTCCTGATGCTTATGCAGCTGAAATGAATCTTAAATGTTGTAGGTCACACAGAGCTTGTGACATGTCTAGGAACTGAATATAGATGTCTCGAGTTTCCACCTAGCATCTTAGTTGCATATGCATTTCTTTTCTTTCTAATAATTTTCTGTATTTGTATTCATCCTGTGAACTTACCTGCACAAGTATTTACCTGGTTTCACAGCGCTAGGCATGGACTACCTTCTCAATTCCCCTTAGCTGCCTGTTTTGGATTTAGTTTTAAGTTAAGTTTTGACTTTTATTTCTCTCTTCCTCTCTCTCTTTCTTTCTTTTCTTTCATTTTTTACTAGGTTTGGAGCTTTATTTGTCAGCTGAAGTTTGTCTGGAGACTGTCCTCTCTCAGGTGTCATTCCTGGGATTTGCTGTCCTGGAATACCCAGTAATTCTTCTTGCCTTTAATCTCTCTGGAGGATCTTAAACTCTGTATCAAGTATAAGGGACAGAAGCAATTTTATTTCTTTAGAGTGAAATGCACCTGAAAAAAATTCTCTGTGTGCATTGGCTCCAAGTCCTGCACTTGTAGAGACCACCACAGCTTTTATCCAAAAATACCTCTTGCAGAGATTCATGATTTGGGCATTAGGTGAACACCTGAAAGAATGAGTCAGTCTGCCAACACCTTTCTTAAATTAGGCATGCTGCAGATGATGAAA